TGCTTTGTATATTGACAGCGGCATCAAGTTGATGCGTGCTCCAAGGTCGCATAATGTCCGGCCAACATTGATGTTGCCTATCGCAATCGGGATGTTGAAACTTCCCGAATCTTGAAGCTTTGGTGGGAACTTCTTCTGAATGATGGCATTGCACTCTTCAGTAAGTGCTACTGTCTCACAATCCTGCAACTTATGCTTTCTAGACAATAAATCTAACATGAATTTAGCATAGTTAGGCATGTTAGGAAGAGCTCCAGCAAATGGAATATTAATATGCAATTTTTTAAACATATCTAAAAACCTGGCATACTGTTGCTTCTGTGCTTGCTGTTTGAGCTTCATAGGATATGGAGGTTTCTCAAAGCGAGAAAAATTCATCGGTTGCTTTGGAGCCTCAACAGCTTTCTCCTTTGCTTCTTCTTGCTCACTGACAGGTGCTTGTACTTCTTTCTCATGCTCCAGCTCAGTTGTTGGCTCATTAACTTTCTTTGGTTGAACCGATTTTTTCTTTTCTTTAGGAGTGATCACAATTCCACTCCTAGTCACAATGGACTTGCAGTCCTCCTTTGGATTCACAATTGTATCACTTGGGAACTGTCCTTGAGACCTTTCAGCCAACTTCCTAGACAACTGGCCTATCTGACTCTCCAAGTTTCGGATGGAAGCATCCTGGTTTTTGTGGTAGGCTCTGGTCTCATTTATATGATCATTAGTAGTTTTGGCCAGTTGTATCATCGTTTTCTCCAACTCAGATGGCTCTTTTTGTGGCAGAGGAGGAGGTTGCAGATAGTTGTTGGATTTATAATCCAGGCCGCTCCCTTGATTCCTCCTTTGGAAATTGTTCCCTTGGCCTCCATTCTGATTCCTTTGGTAAACTTGAGTATTTTGTGTAGGCCTTGGACATACCAAATTCCATTGACCTGGAATGATTCAGCTCTATTGAGTGTAGGGCACTCATTGGTATCATGCGGCTCCTTACAATACTCACAGTCAAATACATTTACCTTGGATGTTAAGAGCTGCATCTTGTCGAGCTTGGCATTCAAACTGGCCAACTGCTGTGAAGTCACCTTTTGCTCAACTAATGAGGCATCAGCGTTCCCCAGTTGTAAAATTCCCTTCTTGGGTTGAGCTGACTGAACTGGAGGAACTGCCGTAGAAGCGTTATCGTTCCATGTTAGGTAAGCAATCAATTCCAGGGTTTCAGCTGCTGTCTTCTTTCCGATGGTTCCACCGGCTGCACTGTTGACAACCATCCTGATATACGGTGTCATCCCATTATAGAAGACTCTGACCTTCTTCCCGTCAGGAAAGTCATACTGAGGGCATTTCCGGATCAACTCCTGGAATCAGGTCAAGGCTGCACAAAGAGTCTCTCCCGGCTGTTGAATGAAGTTGGTGATCTCGTTCACCAACTTGTTGTACTTTTCCCACGAACAATGCTCAGCAAAGAATTTAGCGGCTAGATCGTCCCATGTTCGGATACTGTTAGGAGCTTGTCGATCTAGCCATCTGAGGGATTTTCAGGTCAAAGCAAAGGGAAACAGCCTGAGTCTGATGGCATCGTCAGACACTCCATGATGCTTGGTAGTGTCACAGATTCTCAGAAATCTGTCCATGAAGTCGTGAGGATCTTCGTAATCCTCTCCTCCGAAAGGGTTCTTCTCCACTAGATTAATCAGAGACGGGTTAATGTCAAAATTGTTGGCCTCTATCTCTGGTCGGACAACACTGGAGTTCGGCCTTGTGAACATAGGAGCCAGAAGTGACTCCATCGACTCCGCTGGAGGTGGTGGAGGCGGCAGAGGCTGATTATTAGCTGCCATCACTAATTCTTTGTGCGGCTTTGAACCTGAAGATTCTTCTTACTTTCTTTGCTTGGCTTGCTTCCGATTTTTCTTTGCAATTTTCTCGATTTCTGGATCAAACTGTAAGGAATCTCGATCTACTTTACCTCACATAAACTACAGCAAAAAGGTCAGTAACAAACAAAATCCAATAAAGAAATTCAAAAGTTAAAATTAAATTAGGCATAGTCAATCCCCGGCAACGGCGCCAAAAACTTGTTGCGTAAAATCGGCAAGTGCACCGATCGTAACAAGTAATAAAAAGTGAGTAAGAATATCGTCCCACGAGGATTGAGGCACCAGATTTAACTTTAACTATTCCTTTCTTATTGGATTAACAAAAAGAGGTTTGAAAGTAATGGTGTTTGTAATAATTGTGAATTATTCAATAATTTATGAACAATTCAAGAGAAGTTGAAGACTTTAAGCAAAAGGGGTTGAGATTTGAGAAAATATTGTAAAGAAAACTATTGCAGTAAAGGACACCAACACCTTTCTGATCCTCACCTTGTAATATTGATTAATATTTATATTTAATTACCTAATTGATCAAACAATTCATCATCTATAATTAATTAGTTAAGCCCTAATCCCTTAGTGATCTTAACATTATTAACCCTATTGGAATCGTAATCCCTTAGAAATCCCTTTTCAAGTTAATCTTTAAGCCCAGTGAATTTTCCACGTTTGCAGTCCATATAGCCTATCCCTAGTGCATACATGAACATTTATCTTACCTTTTGTCAGGAATTAGAATCCCAATATTCCTATTGTAAACCCTAAACCTCGCAATCCTAATAGAGTCGCGAATTCTAAAAGAATTATGGATGAAGAACAGAGTAAAATAAATTCAATTGAAATAATTAACTATAAACTTAACCAAAATACATGGGGTTCACATCAAGGGTTGTGACTCTTACCACAATATAAAAAACTAGCCAGACATATTCATGTCTGACAAAACAAAATATTCAAAAGAATTCATAAAATTGAAATTAACCGGAAAGAATGGAAGAAGAAATCTTGATTCTTCAGGCACCGAAAGCTCGCTCCAAATCCTGTTGCTCGCAATTTCTCCCGTGCAAAAGTGTGTTTTTCTCTTGAGGTCTGAGTCTCTATTTATAGAGTCTTTTGACCTGGTGGAGAATCTTGATTTAATCTTTTCCGCATCTCACTGTAATCTTGTCTCTGATTCAAATGAAGATTTAAGTTGATTTGTCCGCACCTTCCACGCCACTAGCGTGGGAGTTTTTCTTCTATATCCTGGAGCACCATGCAACTGGCGTGGCTTCCACGCTGCAAGCGTGGATTGTGAAAAAGTCTGGCGCTACTAGCGTCAATCCCACGCTAGTAGCGTGGTAGCTTCTGCCTGTTTTTGGACCTCTGGCGCTACTAGCGTGGTTGTCTCTGTGTGAAAGGGCTCTCTTCACGCTATGGGCGTCATACCCATGCTGTGAGTGTGGGCCTTCAGTTTAGCTTTTCATCTTTAGCTCCAATTTGTCTATTTTTCCTACGAAATCAACATAAAATCAGTATGCAATCTCTGATTAAGAATTTGACAGATCAACAGTGATTATTTCCCTTTTTGCTTAAGATTTAATCGCATTCTTTCTCTTTTTGTCTTAGATTTCCTTATATGCTGAACGCATATCAGTAATCTTCAGAACCTCTGAGTTACTGAGATATATTCATATATCTCACCCCGTTTTAGGGACTTTAATTCAAGTAGTAGCAATGGGACAGGAGCTGTGGGCAAGAGGCCCGTAGGATGAGAATATGGACATAGAGCTTGTTTTGCATTTTGAGGACACTTGGCCTAGGCTAGACTTAGGGCATGAACATTGTATATGGATTTAGGTTTATACATGTTGTCATATTTGTTCATGCCATCTTTTTATCTAAGTCTAGTTGTACATTTGTTATGCTTTATGTTGAGGTTATTTTCATTATGTTGTAATTGAAGGATTTATTGTATTATATTGTAATTGGAGACTTGTAATTGTAATATTGGACCTTGTGTAATATTGAAGCATGCTATATGATGAAAGGGCAATAGACCTATTTTAGGTTATGAATATGTGTGTGTTTAAAGAATGCATGCAATTGGATCAAAGTGATTGAAATGGTTTAAGTTTTAAAATGTAAGAAACGGAATGTAAAGCAAGCAAATTGATATAAATTATTGTGGGTTGTAAGAGCACCAAGACATTGCTGGTCCTTGAGTGCCACCCTTGAATATTATTTTCCATTGATGATAGTTAACACACTTTTGATAAAGTGGGATAGGTTGAATAATAAAGGAGATGCCGTCGAATTTTCTAGAAAATGACAGATTTTGGGTGAACTTTGGGAGAACATATCTCTCTCCACCGAAGTTCAATAGGGATGTTACATACACCATTTTGAAGATTAAGATGTCAACTACATTTTGCCAAAATTTGGTAGCAATTGGAGTTGTACGTAGACCTGTAGCGGCGTTTTAATGGAGACTACCCAGAATTTCCCTGCACATGTGGTTGTCTGGTGCTATTTTTGGGGAATTTATTTCTCCCTCAATTCTTGGTCAAATTAGGCCCATGATATGTCAAATTGAATCTTGAGGTTTATAGTTTACTATATAAAAATTTGAGAGAAATTGGTGGAGTGTTTTTGTCCAGAATCATTGAAAGAGTAAAGGCTGTTTGGAGCTCTATTTGAGGTTGGCTGGCAGCTTTGCTTGTCCAACTTTAAACGATGATAACCGGAGTAAACGAGAACTTTATGGAGAGTGTGATATCTTGTTGGAAATATAATTAAGTCTAGAATAACATACTAAAATATGGGGGTTCTTAACTTGCGGATCTCTCGCAATATCCAGATTACTGAACCATGTTTTGTTATGTAAAAACCGTAAAAGTGAGATTTATGCTAAGTGGGTTTATGGGAACCCCTTAGTGACTTAAGAGAAACATTATATGATAGTTAGGCATTATTTATAATTATTCCGTGTTTAGTTTTCAGTTATGATAACAACTTTTACTCATTACGTTTTATTATTGTTTTAAATGCTCACGTAATAAAAAGGAAAAAGTTTACTCGCATTTTTATAAATGAACTATTGTGATTGTAACTACGCTTAATATCATAATTAATGTTAATTATACCGGTATACAAATGGCTATTACAGTGCAAGTTCTAAGAGGAAAATATTGTAACTCTAAGAGAGGTCCTGAAATATTCACCAAAAGGAAGGGTGATTCTCGACTCTGGATAAACACATGTAGAATGTGGAACACACTTGATGATAGTAGCATTTGGGAAATTGGAAATGGTTCCCATATTTTGTTCTGTAATGTTAAATGGCAAGGTGAAGGCTGTAATCTTATTGAGCTTGTGACTAGTGAAGTGCTTGCTGGAGAACTTAATAAGAAAGTGGCAGACTATGTAAATAATACGAGGCAGTGGATTGTAGGGGCCTTTAATTGTTGGCTTCCTAGCATTGTGGTGCAAAACATTTAGAATACCTTTCCTTTAGAGCAATCAGAGGAAAGAATGATTTTTACATGGAAACCTAAAGATCACTACGAAGGCATTGTATGACTACTTAGCTGGGAAAGGTCCTGATGTCTCTCAGGCTCACATAAAGTGGAAGACTTCGTGGGAATAGAAAGAACCCCAAAGAATCAAAATACTTATGTGGAAAGTGATGCATCATCGCCTCCCAACTCAAGATATGATAGCTATATGGGGCCATACCATCCCTATTTTCTTGTTATCTCACCAAATAAATGAAACAATATTGCATGCTCTAAGGGACTGTGGTCAAGATAAAAAGGTCTGGTCTAGCCTTATCCCCCCTGGTTGGAATGGAATTCTTTCAAAGTAACCATAGCAAATGGTTAGAGAAGAATCTAGGGAATGCCAACACTAGAGTTTATGACTCTTATTGGCTTATTATCTTTTTCACAACTTGCTCTCTAATCTAGTATTAACGAAATGCGCAAGTGCATAAGCATAAGTCTTCAAAGGACTTCTTTAGTGTCCCCTACATTTTATGCCAAGCTGCCTAAACAGATGGGGCATTTTTGCAACTAAAAAAGGCTTCTCCTTATCATAGTCGCATACAATTGTATATCAAATAGGAACCTCCTGAGGAAGGATGGATAAAGATTAACACAGACGGTGTCGCTCGAGGTAACCCAAGCCCTGCTACATATAGAGGGCTTGCTCAAAATCATGCAAGCTGCTCGACCATGATAGCAGAGTTCTGGGGAATCATAAAAAGTCAAGATATGGCTTGGGCAGGTGGTTGGCGAAAGGTGATTATTGAAAGTGACTCAAGTAATGCAGTAGCGGTGCTCACAAAAAATGGTGAAGCTGCTCGTGAGTCCTATTTGGTGTCTCGGATAAGGGTTTGATTGGATAGGGATTAGGAGGTTCATCTCAGTCATATATGTAAGGAAGGAAATCAAAGCGCGGACTGGTTAGCAAGCTACTCTCTAGATCAACCACAAGAGGAAGCTTATTGTTGTTATCGGTCCCCTCCCCCTAATGTTAGTCTTTTACTTTTAGCTGATATGGCTTTTGTTGGTAGCCATCGTAGTGTTGTTATATAAGTTTTGGTTTGTTTGTGTGTGTGCCTTTATTCCACCCAAAAAACATAAAAATAAAGTACTCAACAATTGATGCCTCAAGTAGCTCCTATCTTCGAATATCTATATAGAAAAGGAAGCAAGAATTTCTAGTTCACTGGCAAAGATTGTCTAAAACAAAAGCAACTTGGGAAGATGTGGCTTTTCTAAGACAACAATTTCCAAAACTTACTCTTGGGGACAAGAGTTATTTTTAAAGGGAAGGGACATGTTTAGAAATCTATTTTGACTTGTTCAAATAATTGGACTTTTTGGGTTTTGTTTGTTATTTTAATCAAATAAAGCACACATATAGGAATGTTAGTTGCAACATGTAGTAGTCGTGCGTGCAATAGGTGTGCTATGTTGTTGCTATTTTTCTATTAAAAGTTTATATTGTGTTGCTTATTTAAGAATCACTTATGAAATAAAATGAGTATCAGAAGTTTATCTCAAAGGCGCTTGTGTTGTGAGGCAATGTTCCCTCAATTGAACTCACTTCGTTTTAATTATTTTTCTGCCAAGATAGGTCGAAAAGGATAAGGCTAAATTGTAAAAGCTATTTTCCTTTTTCCTTTTTTTTTCTCTTCTTCTTGCTTCTTATGGTCCTTTACACTTTTGCTCACAAATGGTGTCTTTAAAGCTAAAACATTTCTCATCTTTTTGAAGCATAGTTCACTTACCATTACATTAAAGTTACAATTATTTTTCTTAGGGGCATGACAAAAAATCAAATGAACCAACTGTGAACTGATCTGAGTCTCACCAAAAGAACCATATTTTTTGTAATGTACTAGTTCAATAACCGAACCATTTTTTCAAAATCGGTTTGGTTTATGAATCGAATCACTTTACTAATTCGATTTAGTTTAAGCTAATAACAAATCGAAATCGAATTGAACCATACCTACTTATAATGTGAAAAAACCAATTGAACTGTAACATATTTTTTCTAACCAGTTTAAGAATAAAACTATTTTTTTCTAAACCGGTTCAAGAACCCAACCACTTTTTAATATTGGTTTGTTTTGCCCGAACTGAACCACTTTTTCGATTCAGTTTGGTGTAGAAAATTGAACCGAATCGTGCACACCCCTAATTTTTCCTTGTTGGCAACATGTAAAAAGACAAAGAAAATTGTTGATTGAAAAAAGGTTCTTTCTTTTTTAATAAAATGTATAATATTTTGGAGCTTTTTAGTTCTCAAATCTTAATTTTTTATTATATCAAATTTAGTTAAGAAAAAAATTATCTTTTGTCCTTTCATACTGAGTTTTGATAATTTATAACATAAAACTAATTTATAATACAACTCAAACATAACAAAATATCCTAAAAGGGTTTAGTGTTTGTCCTTTTAAAGGACATAGAATTATATCATTTTTTTGAGTAATTTCAAGGGTATCCTTCTGTTGTAACCGAAGACTAATCTCCATCGAATACTGTTAGACTCTTTTAGAGCGACTTTCTCAAATTATTTCTTTTTCATTTCTAGAACTCAAACTCGAGACCTCTAGTTAAGGGGTCAGATTCATTACCACCTTTGCCAATGGTGTTTGGTAGAATTGTATCATTTTAATCTGTATTTTATAGTGAGAGAAACAAAAATCTTGGGGGGAGAAAGTGACAAGTTCTTTTTTAATTCAAATCTTAAATAAAAAATATTATTTTTAACTAAAATATCTGTACTTTAAAAGAATAAACATTTTCCCATCCTAAAATCACTTTTTACTTAACATATCAAAACATAAAATTTATTTTATCGTTATTGATTTAAAAGTAAATCAGTTATACATATAATTGAATATTGAATGTTATTTTATTGTTTTTTTTTTCTTTTCAAAACTGATCTGTACATACAATATATATGGAGCTGGGGGAGTCTCTTTATTTTATTTTATTATTTTATACAACAGTGACACTAAAGTTTGAACCGATAACCTTTTTATTATTTTACTATTTCATACTTAAAGTCCTAGTTTTTAGCCCAACCCACTGGCTTAAGGGATTCGATCTCCTTAAGCAAGGAGTGGGAATAAGATATTAATTTTATTTATTTTTCTTAAACAGCATTTTAGTCTTTTGCCTCGTCCAATGCCCCATGGTATAATAGAATTGATCCAGTGTTTTGATGTATATATATATATAAGATGCGATGAATAAGCTTATACGTGTCAACGCTAACCATTTATATAGTGGCATTGAACTTACACGTACAATATGAATGCTGATCTAATTTTAATGTGTCAGATGGGCCCAAAATTTACAGTGTTAGGTCAAAATCAAATGTTAATTTTCTTTTTGTTTTTGGTGTATAACTTCGAATTTTTGATCTACAACTTACACCATATATTCTGCTAACCGCTGGGGCAATTTTGGAGAATTCACAATATGCTTTCCTTAACAACTCCGCCGAAGAATGAGATGACAAATATGGCAATGAATCGATGTTTGTTTTGAGTTTCAAGAGAATGTGGCACTTCAACAAAGTGCACTTTAGTCTGGCTGTGTTTGCTATCACTTCCATTGTTGTGTTTTTTTATATTGATTCATCAAAGGGTGTGAAAAGGGTGTCTAGATTGCATGTCTCAATACCTCATTTCCCATTGATTTATCAAAGGGTTCAAAAGGGATATACAGAATCGACTTTTTCATCATTCACAGTATGAATCTTTTGTCCCATAAATAGTATCCTCTCTTTTTTTTTTCTTCTTATGCATGTCATTTTGGTTTTGTGCGGCTAAACGTTAAGGTTTCGATATTACGGAGAATTGAGTTTTGTTAATAAATTTCTCATAAACAAAAGAAAAAATCTATATATGCAGGGAAATAGAAAATTGGAGAAGGTTGAAGCAAGTCTTGCAAAAGCTAGAGCCTTGATAAGAGAAGCTTCATTGAGAACCAATGACACCGTGCCTCCTGAAGATACTGATTATGTTCCACATGGAGACATCTACAGAAACGCCTTTGCTTTCCATAGGTATGAACTATATATCGAAAAAAAATAAAAAAAATCAACTCATCAAAAATAGAAAAAGATGTTTCAAAGTATGTTAATTGTTTTATACAAATGCATGGGGTATATGGGTAGATAATCATTTACGAGAAGTCTAGAGTTTTTTTTTTTTTTTTTTTTTTTATAAAATGAAAGTATATGCATCATAATTAATAATTTTGTTAGAATTCACTTCTTTTTTCAGCTATAAATTTCTTCTTGTATTTTACTTTTATTAAAATGACTCTGTACATTAGAAAACTAATTCCATTAAGTTTTACTTAGCTAGAGGGAGAGAAGAGAGGGATACCGTATCCGAATTTTATTATTATTTTAATAGGATTCAAATATTATTTAATAAGAGGGGAACATTTTTGTTGATCACAAACTAATATCAATTTAACTGGGTTTATCTAAAACATATTTCAAGTTCCATTTAATTAAGTTTGTATACATACAAGAATTGAGAAAATGGCAGATAGAATACAAAAAAACATTAAAAATTTTAATACATATAATCAAGAGGTAGTTTATATTTACAAATTTTTTGTTTACAAATTTTTACAGATTATACTATGTATTCCTAGGAATGTATTTCTAACTGAGTCTATTCCCAATAATATATATATTTATATAGTTGAGTTTGTAAATAAAAAATTTATAAATATAAAATTTCTTTATAAATAAACACAAAATTGTGCTGAAAATTCAGGGGGTTCAGACCCTTTGCAAAAGACATCGTAGAAGCTTGTGAATCATTCTTTTTCCCAATTATTGAACATTGCTGAAGTCAGAAGAAGCAAAGAAATGCTCCACGTACATGTTTATGCTGCCTTGAACAAATTAATGTATTGTCTATAGGACCTAACTCAAGTGTTGAAAGGTAAGATGAGGTTTGGGTGGAGTTCATAGGTTCAATTCATTGTAAACTAAATAAAAATAAAAATTTCTTCTAATTTTCCAAAAAGTATCGATTAACATATAAATAAACTTTAATCATTCTCGATCATCCTAATCATCTGTTTCTAAATTAGGAAAATATAAATAGTTGTAGCTCTTAAATGTCATTCTTTATTTATTTATTTTCATTTTTTGAATTGCTTTTATATCATATAGGAGTTACCAGTTAATGGAAAAGCTCTTTAAAATCTTCGTATATGAAGAGGGAGAGCCCCCTCTATTTCATTATGGTCCCTGCAAGAACATATATTCCATGGAAGGAATCTTTATCAACTTATTGGAAAGCAATAACCTGTTTCGGACACAGAATCCAGATGAAGCTTATGTCTACTTTCTTCCGTTTAGTGTTGTGATGATCCTTGAGCACCTCTTTCATCCAGTCATTCGTGACAAAGCTGTGTTGGGCCGAACTATTGGTGATTATGTTCATATAATATCCCACAAATATTCATATTGGAATAGAAGTTATGGAGCTGATCATTTCATGCTTTCTTGTCATGATTGGGTACTTATTTTCAATAAAAAAAAAAATTTCAATCTTCCTTCTCTAGTTATAGTGCTTGTATATATCATGGTTTAAAGAGTGATTTCACCTGTGTTTGGATAACTGTTCTGTATTTGCTCCATTAGCCCTGTCCTGTAGGCTCAATCAAGGGGGTTTTCCCCTGTATTCCCAAAGTGAGATTTTTATACCCTTACCAAAGAGAATCTTTCACTTTGTGCACAACTCACCTCATACACATCTTGAGGTGTGCTTGCCTCATGCATTGCAATGGGCTCCACCCGATAAAATGGTTATAACTTTCTCTCATCATTAGGAAATATTTTTTCACCTATATATATATATATATATATATATATATATATATATATAAAAAAGGTAGGATCCTTTGACACCAGTGTCAAATTTGAAGTTTGACACCTCATCTGAGAGCCGTTAGATAAAAAAAATCAATGGTGTTACATGTTTACACTAATGACTCTCAGATAAGGTGTCAAATTTCAAATTTGATACCTCATCTGATAGCCGTTAGATCAAAAAAGATCAATGATGTCACATGCTTACAAATTAGAGTCGTTGATCTTTTTTTATCTAACGACTATCAGATGAGATGTTAAATTTAAAATTTGACACCAGTGTCAAAAGATCCTACCTCATATATATATGGAAAGATTATATTTATAAACTCTTACAAACTATACTAAGTATAATCGGACATACTTTAATCAAGAGTGCATAACCGATCATACTTAGTGTAATTTGTAAAAAAAATTGTAAACGGATCCTACTATATATATATATATATATATATATGGAGAGAGATCATTTGACTCAAGACTAAGACTTATAAGTCTTACTCTCCATCATAACTGTTGATATATATATATATTATATATATATATATCTTGAACCATTGAAGAGGCATCTTGCATCCTATACTTTTATGAGCTTTATTGTAATATATATAGAGCCATAGTGCCCTTTCACCATCCTGTCTTTCAACTTACATCTGAAGTACTCATTGTGACTCTATTGTAGAGCTTTTGGTCCATATCACTACATCTAAGAGCACGGTTATCTTGATAGACTTTTCCCTATTAAAAATAAAATCTAAACTCCTCACTAAAGAGTTCAACAACCATTCAATCTTGTTCATTAGCAGTTGCTAAATGTGATGTGACTAATATATTTTTTTTCTGACAAGGCAATGGTTTGTATCTAGGGACCAAGAGCAACATGGTATGTTAAGGAATTATATTTTATTGCAATCCGGGTGCTATGCAATGCAAATGTCACTGAGCATTTCAATCCCAAGAAGGATGCATCATTTCCTGAAATTAACCTGGTAACAGGGGGAACAACAGGTCTTTTTGGTGGCTATCCACCATCAAATAGAACAATTTTGGCTTTCTTTGCAGGGCAAAGGCATGGTAGAATAAGACCAGTGCTTTTCCAGCATTGGGAGAACAAAGACAAAGATGTGCTAGTCTATGAGAAACTCCCAAATGGGGTTTCATACCATGAAACAATGAAGATGAGCAAGTATTGTATTTGTCCAAGTGGGTTTGAAGTGGCAAGTCCAAGAATTGTTGAGGCAATTTATGCACAATGTGTACCTGTGATAATATCACAACAATATGTTCTTCCTTTTAGTGATGTTCTTAACTGGGATTCTTTCTCAGTTCAGATTCCAGTGAGTGATATACCCAAGCTTAAGGAAATTTTGTTGGGTATATCGGAGGACAAATATATGAGATTGCAAGGAGGAGTTAAGCAAGTGCAAAGACATTTCGTGGTGAACAATCCTCCCAAGAGATATGATGTATTCCATATGATTATTCATTCAATATGGCTTAGGAGGTTGAATGTGCATGTGAAATAAGTCATGCTCTCTTTGTCATTCTCTCTGTATTCATTCTTTGGTTAATGGTGTTAACTGCTTGATTCACCTTCAATATTGGGTACTTAGAGAACAATATTCTGTTTCTCATATGGTAATTTTTATTTTATTTTTTCTTTTAAATAGATGTACACATTTGTACTTCATATGGTAATCATATAGCCAAAGAAATTCCGCATTTCAATCCTTCAAAATGGAGAGATGAATTAACTGGTTTTTTCACCCTTTTGCCTCTCATTAATTATTTAATAACTATTTTGTCCCTTATTCAGAACTATCTACCAATTTGTCTCTCTTTAATCGATTAAATCAAAAATTTAATCGATTAAATGATCAAAATAGACAAAAATCGTTGACTTGAAGATTTAGTCGATTAAATCTCCCTATTTAATCGACTAAATCTCCCATACATAAGGTTATTCTTCTGATAAAGAGGAAGATTTAATCGATTAAGTTGAAGATTTAATCGATTAAATCTTCATTTGACCATTTAATCGATTAAATTTTTGATTTAATCGATTAAAAAGGAGCAGATTGGTAGATAGTTTGCAATAAGGGGCAAAATGGTTATTAAATAATTAATGAGGAGCAAAAAGGTGAAAAAGCCTGAATTAACTTGCAACATCTTCAATTTATAGTGAGTTTGTATTCAAAAGAAATTGATTCAAGTGATATATGCTTGATTCTCTTTAAGTAAGGTCTTTGATTCAAATCTTTGTGAATGCAAAAAAATTCTTTTTGAAAAGCTGACCCCACTATACTGTGAATATTCTCGACTCGAAGAGGATTGTCTCCCTTGAAAGATATATATATAATTTATTTAAAAAAAAAAAAAAAAAAACAAGCTTGTAATATATTCCACACCATCCACAGTGTCTATATCAATTCACATGATGGAAATCTGGTTAAAGTAAAGTGTTCACTGCTAGGTTTGTGATAAAACAAAGAGTTTGCAACTTCTGCTGTTATTGAAGATGTTGCAAATGTGCCGCAGAGAGAAAAAATGTGAGATCCACACCATGCTCTCTTTTTAAGAATAAAAATTAGCAGAAGTATTTAAAACAAAAGCCCAAACGGCCAAACCTATCAAATAAGACAAATTGATTCGATTCATGTCATCAAGTTAAAGTAAAAATAAAAGTTGTTATATTTTTCTCTGTTTTTATCATCATCTATTATCTTCTTATTTAGAAGTTTAAATTTTCTACTAATGCAAGGTTAAAACTTAAATATTGCTGAGTGTCTCTTGCTCTACCATAATATTGAGGCAATAATAAAATCAATTCTAAACAATGGGGAGGGAACCGTTTAAAAAAAAAAATTATAATTTTTTGCAAATTACATTATGTACTCCCGGAAGTACATAGTATAACCTAGTGTATTTACGGGAGTACATAGTGTAATTTGTAAGAGTTTGTAAATAAAAAATTTATAAATATAATCCTTCCCCAAACAATTGATATTATATTTTACTAACATTTAGCTCTTTCTACCATTATATTTTTACATCTCTCGTTAATCTCTTTAGTCTTTACCCAATACAAGATAACAAAGTTGGATAATAAACATAAATCAAGACACCTGATAATGGTTTCGCTATTTGGTGAGGAGTTAGAGTGAATGAGGGAGAGGAAAAAGGTGAGACACCTGGGCCTGTTTGATTGTGTTTTGATTTTTTTGTTCTTAAAATTGTTTTGTAGAATAATTATGGAAACAATTATTTTCTATGTTTTTTTGTTTTGAAAGTTAAAAACTAAACAGAAAACAAAAACAACTCAGACATATTCTCTAAATTTGATTCTAAAAACAAAAACAAAAATAGTTACAGTTTTTAAAACTTTTTTTTACAAAACAGGCTTACCAAACGAGTTTTTTTGTTTTTTTGTTCTGAAAACTAAAAAACTGTTTCTAAAACAGTAACCAAACATAGCCCTAATTTTTAAAATCCAAAATGTTTAGCTTTAAAACTTTGAAAGCTTAGAAATTTTAAATAAAACAAAAAACAAAAGTAGATTGGAAGGTGGTGTTGGGGATTTGGGTTAAAAAAATCATAAATCAAGTAATTGGTTGGGATTAAGTTTGATGCGAAGTAAATCAATTATCCAAAATTGGGAAACAATTTAATTGGTTCAATTAGGAATATTAAGTTGATTAGGTCACTCTAACCCGATTGCCACCCCTGGGTTAGAATATTCAAATAAAGTGCATCAGCTGTCAAGTAAAATAATTATCATATAAATGTAAATGATGAAGTATAAAGATCAGGTAAACTTCAATTTATCCGTGAGGTGAATTCATGTACAATTCAATGATTAGTGTTAAGTAACCGCAATGGTGGAGCCATATTTTTTTTTTAAGGGGACGGAATTATAATAAAAAAAATTCTTTAAAGTTATAAATATTTATACGATAAAAAAAAAATAGAAATGGTGCTTACAACTACATGTTTTTGTAAATTTTGAAGGTAGGCGAGCCTTAGATATATGACAAAAAAAATAAGAAATAATGTTCATTTCTTAAGGTTTATATGAATTTGAAGGCGGGGAATGCTGTGTAAATGGATTGAAACGGGCTAGATTTTAGACTAAATAGGATATATGTGAAATTTTTTGAATTTGATTTATTCTATTAGTCTGATGCAAATTAAAATACAGGCATCACCTAACCTATATTTAAAAAGAAAAATTTATGACCTAAGTCTATTAGCCTATTTAAACTTATAATGCCTTTAATACATATTAAGAATTAGAAAGAATAAATAAAATATTATTTTACTAATAAAAACTATTTAAATATTTTATATTTTAAATTAAATTAAAATAAAGAATATGTTATATTTACAAACTCTTACAAACTACACTATGTACTATAGGTAGTATATATTACTACATGATTAAGTAATATATACTACCCATACTACATAGTGTAATTGTAAGAGTTTGTGAACTTTGAATTTGTAAATATAATCATTTTCTTAAAATAAATAATAAGTTATAGGTCTGTCTATAAGCTTGTAGATCGATCCTTGTAAGAGTAAACATATGGCTTGTGAACCATTGGCTTATAAGAAAGCCCAATATGTGCCTTAGAGGGGGTTCAATGGTTACTATAGGGGGTGCCCAGTGCAACAATGGTGATGACCAATACTACAATAGATGATCCTAGTATAGATCGTAAAATGGGGAAAAAGGGTGATATGCAATAACTATGGTGGCTTTTTAAGTTGGCAAGGTAACGGCTCATAAAATGATCTTCCCCTTTCTGTGGTGATGAAAGGGGTATATATAGGTTCCAATATGATGGGAGGATGTGCCAAGTCAACTGTTACAGGGTAGAGTTATGATTAACCTGGCTCTGCTGAGGCTGGGCCTTTTGCAGTCGCTGTTGTGCTGATAGCAACCCCTATATAAGGGAAAAGTCGAGGGAATGGTTCCGAGGTGATATATTGGGTGTCTGTGGAGGCAAAAAGGAGGAGGGAGTCCTCCAACATAAAGCGTTTTGGTGTCTTATATTGGGAGGCTAGTCTGTTTTGCAGAGGGTGGCAATGATACCTGCATGATAGTGAGTTTAGGGCTGAGGTGACTTGAGTCTTTAGGATTTAGCTTGCCTTATTGAGTTGATGCATTGGGCCGACCAGAACAACTTGTTTTTTAAACCAGTTGTTTCTAGGGCTTAAATTTGTTCTATTTTACTAAATATATTAAAATTGACGTAAGTCAAGCTGTAGTCCCTAATACGTCATCTGGCTCATTTATACCCTTATCACCAAACCCCTCACAGCACAATTGAGTAATGGACAAATATTATGGTATAGCTCAAAATGGCCACATTGTCTCCCGGACAATGTTATTAAACTCGACCCGGTTAGTGACTCGGTCGAGGTATTGGGTTAGTGGGTCATTGGTTCAACCAGTGGATCACTGGTTGAACCGCAAGACTCGGTGAGTATATATAAATTTATAATTTATATAAAAAAATTAAATATATTTAAGTACTTATAAAAAATAATTTTAATTTCAAATATTCTCTCTTTTTTTTTGATAAATAAGTATTTTAACTTTATTAGTAATGAATATTACATTTTGTATTCCAAAAGACAAAATATTACATTTCAAATACAATATAATATAATAAATTTTTAAAAAGCCGTAGCTTTGCAAAAGAGTGTTACATTTGACAATATATTAAACTACTTCTTTCACTTCAATTAAGTACATTCCATTTTTCAATACAATGTAATAAATGAAAAGTACAAAACATTGGTCATTTTTATGTGCTATTTCATAGCCCTATTTCACAACTATCTATCGCCTCTTTTTTGAAAACAGCTAAAGTCTCTCTTTCTTTTTTTCTTTTGAAAACAGTTATCGGTCTTTGTATCTGATTCTTCTTCTTTGCCATAGCTATAGTCTCTCTTTCTTTTTTTCTTTTGAAAACAACTATCGTCTCTTTTGCTGCTTCTCTCTTTTCAGTACTATTGTTTCAATCTGTAATTTTCTTCTTCTTCATCTATGAGGGTGGTGGTTACCATGAATGAAAAAAAGACCCACGATGAAACTCGAAGAGAGATAAAATACCATGGTGAAGAAGGCTATGCTAGTGGATGTCAAGATCTTGAAGGAAAACGATGAAATACCGGAAAGATTCTTTTTTTCCATCTCCGTCATCTATAATCTTTCTTCTTCATCATTTCCGACAGGATTTTTTTAAACCGGCGGGTCATCAATTTTTAAATACTCGGCCGGTTTAACCCGGTTTTCACCGTTCATACCGGGTGGTTGACATATCCGATCCAATAGGTTGCCCAGACCGGTCACACGGTCGGTTTACCGGTTTTCGATTCGAACCGGTCGGTCCGGTCCGATTTTTATAACACTGCTCCCGGGTCCGGCCATATTTGGATTGAGACGTAGTATCTAAATCAATTTGAGTGGACTCACAATCATAAAATTAAAGGGTTGGCTAGAGTTATAGTTAAGGTC